TAGTTTTTTTTTTTTTCTTCTACAGCTCAGAGACGAGCCATTAAAAAACATCTCTGTGAACTTGAGTTTGGGCATAGATCCCAGGTTGGGTGAGTACCTCTAGTTGTGGAGACTAGGAAACAGTGAGATAAAGAGTCAAATAAGATAGTTGAAGAAACCACAAGGCATTATGTCCCAATGAAGCCGGGGGGAAAGGAGAAACACTAGGAACCGCGTTTTATGACATAGTCTTGTTGGATAATTCCTTCCCAAGCATGAAGTCATACCTGTAGGAATCTGAACAGCAGCGAGAGGCATCAGCCCATTAGCATGAGGACTAGAACTGTCCAAGGACACGAAACTAGTCATTTCCCACATTCTGTTTTGCTTTCCTCTGTTCTTTGGGGAGCCCTCCTGTTTGTTTTTTCTTCATGTACTAAGATCACTGTAAATATACAGGGTGTGTGTGTGGGGGGGGGAGTCCTGAGCTCGCCTCACGTGTTCTTAGTATGGTTTTCTTCACATGTTCTCCAAGGTAGGGTCCCAGTGGACAAGCTTGAAATCTTATAGCTGGTATCTAAGGGAAAATAATCCTCATGGTCTTTTCTTTTTTTTTTCTTTTAAATATATTTTATTTATTTTTTATAGAGAGAAAGGGAGAGGGATAGAGAGTTAGAAACATCGATGAGAGAGAAACATCGATCAGCTGCCTCCTGCATGCCCCCCACTGGGGACATGCCCCTAACCAAGGCACATGCTCTTGACCGGAATCGAACCCGGGACCCTTCAGTCCCCAGGCCGACGCTCCATCCACTGAGCCAAACCGGTCAGGGCTCCTCATGGTCTTTTCAAGAGAATCAGAACTTGTTCATGGAGGAAAGGGGATGGAATGGAAAGGGTAGACCTAAGAACTTTCCTTTTTGCTGGAACTACTGAGCCTGTGAAAAATTAAAAAATAACATCTTGGGCATTAGGACCCAGTGGTAGTGCCTCATCCAGACTCTGGGTTAACTTCTCCCAGTGACGTCAAGAAGCAGCCCAAGCTCATTCTTTACCCCCACCCCCTCATTTTTCTCCCTCTTGCTCCTTTTCTCTCCCTTTCTCCTCCCCCTCACTTTACTCTCTCCCTCCCTCCTTCCCCTCCTTCCCTCCCTCCCTCTCTCTTCCTCCCTCTCCCTCTCCCCCTCTCCCTTTCTCTCCTTTCCTTCTCTCTCTCTCTCTCTCTCTCTCTCTCTCTCTCTCTCTCTCTCTCTCTCCCTCTCTCTTCCCTCCCTGTCCCTCTCCTCTCTTAGCTCCCTAATATTAAAGAGAAAATGCTGCTATCAGTGACTTCCAGACCTGGGATTTCGACTTTGGGCTATAACAAGAACAACAAAAAGGTAGGGAAAGTGCTTTTTTTGGAATTCAGCTACTTCCTTTTCTGGGGATCCGGGAGTGCTCTTGGCTTCAACATTCTCCTTAAGTCAGGAAAAGGATTCCTCTTCTCATCTCAGCACCTCTCTCTTTTCCACCACTTTCTGGCATCTTTTCTCACCTGGTTCTGAAGTTCCAGGAATTTACAGTCTTTGTATGTGAGGCCTGAGAAGGCAGGAGAATTAAAAACAAGTTTTTATCGTTGAGAAATGAAGTTAGTTTGACTTCCTGCTGATATACCTAATCTCCACAGGGATAATATGTCATCTCAGACCCTGGCCCCTAGCCCACCCCCCTCCAATATTATTTTATCTTTTTGGTTAACTGTTTCTGTTCTCCCCACCCCACCTTCCTTCCTACCCGTTTGACCAGCATTATCAGGTAGCAGAAATATAGTTGGTGAAATCACAACAGCTTCATCAAGACCTGGGTATAGTCTTCTAGACGAGACCCTACCCCACCCAGCCTGAAGGGAAGGAGCCTTAAGAGAAGACATCCTTTAGGGTTAAGGCAGAAAGGTCTGCGATTCTGTGGGTTTTGCTGGTGCTTTGAGATCTGTCGATGGCCAGGCTCAGCAGGGATCCTTGGAGTCTTTGGGATTAACCAGAGGCCGCCAAAAAGTTATCTTTGCTGGGGCCCAGGGGCCCTCTGGAGAGAGGTGGACATCGTGCCAACATTTGCCAAGGAATATCCTTGGCAGTTTTTTGTTTGTTTGTTTTCTGACATTTCAGGGCATACAATGCTGATAGGGAGGAACTTCATGCTGTAACAGAAAAACCCTTTACCCTCTCTCAGTGTTGTAGCTGTTCTTTGAAGAAAAAAGGGACTATAGACATTTAGGGATCTTTTGATCACCTGATGGGAGTGTTGGAAGTGGGGAAGGATTCCTGCTGCTTTCTCATTTACCTAAAGAGACTATTACAGGTAGATTTAAACAGAGTATGTGATCGAGGCAGTGGGGAAAATGTTTAGACCCAAGACATTTAGCGTTAGTTTATAGGTGTTAGTTTATATGGTGTTCATTCTGTTTATATCCTTGAAAAAATATAGGTCTGTTGTTGGTTATTTATAATACATACACACATATTTATAACACATACACACACCTTGTATATGACTTTGATAGAGGGATCGTTCATCTGTCTTTCGTCTTTTCAAATCTTATATAGTACTATATGAAAATTTCCTTCCTAATTTTTCCCCTCCAAGTCTTTCCAGTTAACCAGACCCATTAAAATAAAGTAAAATGAATTACAGGAATTAGTTTTTTTCCTCCTAGGGGTTTCATGTATTTGATGCTATCTAAATCTCCTCTTTTCTTAGCTCTCTACTCCCTCCCCCACTTGTAGTATAAAACAAAACAAAATATTTAACCATCTTCTAAATCTAGGATAGCGTAGGGGACAAAGAGGTATGCTTATGGGTTTGTATTTAAATCTTATATCTCTTCTTGATAACTTGTAAGGTTTGAGAAGCAATTCAGGAAACATTGGCGGGGTAGGGGGTAGATAAATACTTACTAATATATTTGTCAAGAATTCTTTGGGTTCTTACACGTCAATGTTATGATGACATCACTTCGTGACTATATTTATGAGTCCTGTGTGTATGTGTAGGTTTGTGACTATTTGGTATATTTAGACTAAAGCATTACTATATTGTTCTTTGTTTTTGTGATAAAATATAGGGTTTAATGTGTTCACTTCTCTTTTGGGGAAAGTGTTTTGGATGGATTTGCTCATGTAATCTGTGCATTTTGTGTGTGTGTGTTAATCCTCACATGAGGATATTTTTTCCATTGCTTTTCAGAGAGAGTGGAAGGGGGGGGGCGAGAGAGAAACATCGATGTGAGATAGACACAGAGACACATGGACTGGTTGCCTCCCCCACAGTCTGAAGAGGGGGGTGCCCTTGACCGGGGAATTGAATCCTCAAACCCTTGACCCTTCAGTATGCACACTGATGCTTTTACCACTGACCCACACCAGCCACGGCTAATTTGTGCATTTTTATATCCAAGGTATAATTTTTAAAGTAACTTATTAATTTTTACTAGTAAATATAAGACATGCCAATTTAAAAAAAAACTTCAGCATAAAGAGGTTTATAAAATTAAAAATCAAGTCCTCCCTTCATGTTCTGAAGTTTATTACCCAAATCTCACCCTTCAAGGAAAATATCTGGCAGCAGTTTGGAATATGTATCCTACCAGACTTTGTATAAGGTAAAGTTATAATTTTATGTTGGCTTATTTGCCATTTCTATTAAGAATTCAGTTTCTTGCCTGGCTGGCGTGGCTTAGTGATTGAGCATCGACCTATGAACCAAGAGGTCACGGTTCGATTCCTGGTCAGGGCACAGGCCCGGGTTGCGGGCTCCTTCCCCAGTGTGGGGTGTGCAGGAGGCAGCTGATCAATGATTCTCTCTCACCGTTGATGTTTCTATCTCTCTTTCCCTCTCCCTTCCTCTCTGAAATCAATAAAAATATTTTTTTTAAAAAAAGAATTTAGTTTCTCAAGTAGAACAAGTCCAGGTAATAACGTTCTTGGACATGTCGAAAATATTAAAAATTGAAAGAACAATCAAACTCTAAACTTCTGAAAAAGTACAAATTATAAAATATCTGCTTTAAACAAAAACACACAGAGACCAATGGGATGGAATTGAGAGCCCAGAAATAAACCTACACATATATGGGCAATTAATTTACGATACAAGAGCCAAGAATACACAATAAATGGTGTTGGGAATACACAAATAAACTGGACAGCCACATGCAAAGAATAAAACTAGATCACTATCTTATACCACACACACAAATTAACTCAAGATGGATTGACGACTTGAATGTAAGAGCTGAAACAATAAAATACATAGAAGAAAACGTTAAGTACTAAGCTTCTGGACAATGGTTCACAATGGTGTTTTTTTTAAATTTGACTCTAAAGGCAAAGGAAACAAAAATAAATGAAATGGGTCTCCATCCAACTAGAAAGCTTCTGCACAGAGAGGAAACCATCAACAAAACAAAAAGGCAACTACCCAAATGGGAGAAGATATTTTCTTTTTTTTGGAGATGATATTTCCAATTAGAGGTTAATACCAAAATATATAAAGAACTCATACAGCTGTGCTCGCTTTGGCAGCACATATACTACAATTGGAATGATACAGAGAAGATTAGCATGGCCCTTGCTCAAGGATGACACGCAAGTTCGTGAAGCATTCCATATTTAAAAAACAAAAAAGAACTCATACAACTCAACAACAAAAAAATAAATAGTCCAAATAAAAAACAGGCAGAGGATCTGACTAGATATTTTTTTCAAGCAAGACATACAGATGGCAAACAGACATATGAAAAGATGCTCAACACCACTAATTATTAAGGGAATGCAAATCAAAACAACACATGTATAATTTCTAATAAAGGCAGATTTTTTCCTCAGGATGTAGTATTTTTGTTTGTTTGTTTGTTTGTTTGTTTGTTTGTTTGTTTGAATCCTTACCTGAGGATATTTTTCGAGAGAGAAAGACAGAGAGAAACATTGATGTGAGAGACACATCGATTGGTTGCCTTTGCACACACCCCGAGCAGGGCTGGGGATACACCCCGAGCAGGGCTGGGGATTGAGCCTTTAGCCTCGGTACATGCCCTTGACTGCAATTGAACCCAGGACCCTTCAGTCCCAAGCCTGATGCTCTTTCCGCTGAGCCGAACTGGCCAGGGCAAGATGTAGTGTTGAATATCCATTCCTTTCTTTGGAATTAAAATAGTCACAGAAGGGGGGAAATGTGGATTTCAAAGAGATTTTCTGTAAAATAATGTGGTACATTAAATAAATCTATTTTAATGGTCTTTAATTAATCTTAGTTCATTAAAAAAAAAAGGCTAAAGTAAAAAGATCTGTGTTCTAGGGTCTCAACACTGATTCTTCAATGTTGGAAAGAGTTGCCTCAGTAGAGATTTGCAGGTAGGTGAGATTGAAAGAGGAAATGTTTGGGACTAAAGGAATTTCAGACTTGTAAAGGGCTTAACCACACCTTCCCTGACATCATCTTCCTGGCATGTGTTATTATATTTTAACTCCTCAGAGCATCAACAATCATTTCCTTTGGGAAAAAATAAAAGGGACTGGGATAATTTGCCTTTCCCAACCTATTTTACATAAATTTCTGTTTTCTCTTGATCTTATATTGAAAAATCAATGGAGAGTGGGAGGCAATGATGAGCGTAAGACTGACTGGTGGGTGCCCTGGCTGGTTTGGCTCAGTGGATGGAGGGTCAGCCTGCGGACTGAGGGGTCCCAGGTTCGATTCCAGTCAAGGGCACATGCCTGGGTTGTGGGCTTGATCCCCAGTAGGGGTCGTGCAGAAGGCAGCTTATCAATCATCACTGATGTTTCTATCTCTCTCTACCTCTTCCTCCCTGAAATCTCTCTCTCTCTCTCTTTCTCTCTCTAGATATAGATATAGATATAGATATAGATATAGATATATACACTAGAGGCCCGGTGCACAAATTCGTGCACTGGTAGGGTCTGGCCAGCCCACCCTGATCGGGGCTGATTTGCACTGGGCTGGCCTGGGGGGAGGAGCCATGGGAGGTTGGCCAGCCCGGTCCCTATTGAGGTGGGGGGCCAATAGAGGTGGGGCCAGCCAGGGGGAGGGGCTGTGGGCAGTTGACCAGCTGGCCATGCCCCCTGGTCAAACTCCCAGTTGAACTCCCAGTCAAGGGGACAATTTGCATATTAGCCTTTTATTATATAGGATAAAAGGCCGACTGGTGGGCTTTGCCAGATCTTTACTTTTTTAAAAGCTTGAGTTACCTGAAATTTTCAGAGTTTACTCAAGAGAGAAGAAAATGAGAAGCAATACTATAAATTGTTTATAGTTCAGACAAGGAGAAAGAAATTTCTTTTGTTTACTACATTTTCATCTAGTTTCCATCAAATTATATTTAGTA